GTAACAGAGCTACAGACTTTTAATCCAAACTTCCCTTCCTTCCCAGTTCTGGCATTTTAAACATTCCTGTTGTTTGAAAGTTCTAAAAAGACTTTGTTTCTTTTTAGGAAGTGTCTCATGTTATGTGTCTGCCAGTGAACCCAGGATAAAATACCTGCCGTGGTAATCATTCCTGCCCAGGGATATTCCTGCTAATGACGCTGGCAATCTTACTCTGCATAAACAGAAGGACAAAGGATGATCCGAGTCTGAGTTATTGTGGATCATTACGATAATTATTTTGCAAGTATAACTGTAGTCTGGGTGTGGGAAACTATTGGGGGATTTTGTCATTTTTATTCTTTTGTGCTGTATTGTGTAATTGTTGTAGCAGTGCCGAGGCCTTAGGAGAAGTGCCCTAAAGGAAATACAAATACATACATTACATTTACTATTTTCCTGCTTCTCTAGGGCTTCACAAAGTTTTTACATGCTATGATTTTCATGTTGTTTTGGTGTTGCAGGTTAAATCATGCTTTTGCCTGTTCCCCATTCTCATCTCTCCCACTTTATGTCTGTATTGTCTCCCCCCCTTTCACTCAGCAGCTTACATTATTTGTGTACCCTCATTGAAGTCAGTGGCAAAACTCACATTAACCTAAAGGCCCTATAAGTGAACTAAATGGGGACTGGATAAAAATTGAATGATAGAAACAAGAAAACAAGCCTCCCTCCCACGGACTAAAATGGGACTATTTCTAGGAGTAAGGATTTGCAGGTTTGGATCTATAGTTTCTCTCCTTACATACGGCCCAGCAAAATGTTTCTTTTATTATAAAAGCTCACAGATTATTTGTAAATTAAACAAGAAATCTGAAAATACATTGGGACAAATTTTGCTCTCAGTCATACCCTTGAGACCATGATCATTGAAGTCAGTGAGGATCAAGGAACATAGGGTAGAATTTGGCCCAATTTTGGGCTGGGGACGGGGTCTGAGTGGAAATCCTAATAGTTTCCTCTTGTCTAGAAGGAGGGTATAAAAATGATTAACCTGTCCACAATGCGACTCCTTCGGTTTGTTAGACAATATCAGGGTTAGCAAATACAAGAGAGACTCTCTCCTCAGAAATGGCCTGTTCATTGCAGAGGATGTTCAGCGTTATCAGCAGTCATGAAAATTCCTTAGTCAGGGCAAATAATTGTCCCTTTTTGCATTGTCCCTTTGCTGACACCAACTCTTTCCGATTGTGAAACCTGCTTAGAAAACAAGTTTCCTACTCAGTGTAATGTTCTGCATGGCAATCTCCTATTCACATTCCTGTATCAGTTGAAATATCCATATCGAATAAATGGCTAGAGTTGTTTGCCCTGAACGCTGAAGGCTGCATCTTTTTCTGTCCCCACCGACATCTTTTCTTTTCTTGACTGTGGGTTTTCCAGAGGAATGCTGCCATTTAAATAAATGTACACAATAAATAAATGGGGACACATTTTACATGAATATAGGCTAGAAAGCAAGAATGTAATGAGTAAATGTATTTTCTATGAGCCTTATTGTGCCATCAATTTGAGGCAGAATTTGGGGGAATTCTGGTTACAAATCGATAGCATGATATTGCCCTATGTTGTTTTAGCGAAGACTTTTATGTTTACACACTCTGCTGTCTAGAATGGAGTATACAAATCGGTAGAATCATTGCCATTAACAGTTAATGTCCGGATCTCTCCTGTTCACGATAAATAACAATACGCCATAACTGTCTGTAGGAATTATATTAACACGTTGCATATTACTAATATATTCCGTTTATAAAACCCTCTCCGGTATTATGAACGTGTACAAAGAGCATTGTCAATAGAAGAATGAAGTGGTTGGAGCGCTTCCACAACTTGAAACTAGCATTTGACAAGTGTACAAAGAATAGACACTTAAAAGTCAATCAGAATTAACCCCAGGGAAAAGCTCAGGGATATAAACAATGTAGTCTGGTAGTTTGTTTCCATAACAGCCCTACATATTTTCTCCAGTGGATTGCTGTTATTTGCAGATATTTTGAATCATATCAATTCCTGTGTTCTTCCTTTTAGTCTTTGCTTGTTAGAGTTCTCATCAAACTTTTTAATGCAAACTGCACTTCAGGACAAAGGGCAATATCTGTGCTATGGGTCTGGAAGCAGAACTCCCTATTGATTTCAAAATCGATAGCACAATATGGCCCAAAGAATTCTAGTTAGCTGCCCAGGCACCGGCAGTGTCTTTTCCTCTTGTTCCTACAGCTGGCGCTGGAGCGAATCACCCCGTGGCAATGCTCAGCGTTCTGGGGTTGGGGACTAGGGCTGTCATCCCAGCACACTGTACTGTACAAACTCCGAAAGCAAACTTGGCCGACCGTGTTCCGGCATGCCAGCATCTTTGCCGGTAGGTGGCATCCCTTGTCCGCAGAGAATCTCCGCCAAAGAGCGCTCACTGAAAGGAAATCAGCAGAGAAGCAGCGCGATTTCGGCTCTGATGAGGAAACTCAACTTTGAGTTTCGCTGTCTTGTCTGTAAAAAGAGCAAAACATCAAATCGCTGGGCTGGCGGTTGTCTAGCAAAGAGCTTCTGTCTGGGCCCGACAGTTCTTCATGCCGAGCACTGTCGTTCATTTGAAACATGCAAGGAGATGGACTTTGCTTTCTCCTTCTTTACCTGCTGTTTGATTTCCTGCAGGAGCGAAACACAGCAGAGCTGTCCAGAGAACTGCAGCCAGGGCCTGCTCCCGAGGTTATTTCCCTGTCGAGCAATGTCTGACGTTGTTTCGTTCTCTTCTGTCACACATTTTTAGCACAGCCTTTATAAGTTGGGAAGGAAAGAAGTCAAATATTCTTTTGGAGAAAAAAAAGTCACCATCACTCTGAGGGACTGCAATAAAACCTTATCTTAATTGTCTGTAGTCAGAGCTGACTCACTGCCCTTCAGTAAACCCCACCTCTCTTTCCTCGAGTGACAGATTATAACATTTTCAAAGCGTGTAGGGAAGATACATTTTAACCACCTGAGACAAAGTGGCTCAGGGTATGTGAATATTTCAGTTTTTCATCGGCGTGTGCATCAAAATCATGGAAATAGAATGCCGCGATAGGGGGTCAATATTCGAACACTGTTTTCTGCATGTGTTACGCATATAAAATGTACATAGATGAAGCATGCACGGGTTTTGGCAGACAGGATAAAGGCAGGTCTGATTATTTTTGCATTCTTATTTCTGTAAAGCTGGTGCCGGACCACGAATGTTAAACTCCATTCTTCTTATTTAGTTCTTTTTGGACGACTATAAACATTCTGGAATGTAATAAAAAACACGAGAGGTACTAGAAGACAAGGAGAATTGAAAAAAACACACACTAACTAACTAACAAGAAACTAGAACAAACAAAAAATAACTTTAAACACTTTTCAGGCAGGGAAACCTTATATAATAACTTGCCTTGGTATCCAAAACGGAAAACTATTTCCCCACATAAACGATATTTCACTCGCTATTTTTAAATACAACGCGAGTTACTTTATCATTTCTACAGAGGTACACAATCTATTAGCCAAAACATAGCTATTGCTTTAATTATTCTTTTGCTTTTGTAACTTTTTGTGGTATGCTCCTTTGGCTTCTCAGTAATGAACACAATGTAAATAGGATTATTTGGAAATAGTAACAAGGATTATGTCCACAAATCCATGAACCTGAGTTTGAAACAGTTTTGCTTGCAACCTTTGATTTAGAAAATATATTGCAAATGCATTTGAATAAAATGTTATATTTGAAATATGCGTTATAGCGCGTAGTTATTTTTTCTTTTCAGAATAATTGTAATCAGAATAAAAAGATAACTTTTATATACTGTCCTACATTAAAACAGACTATCATTTAGAGTTAATTCGGTAGAACTATGTATAATATGTATTCAAGATGGTTCTTTTTAATGTCAGAATGCTTAGAAGTGCATTTATCATAATCTTTCCCCTCTAATGTCAGAAGTGATCCATTAAATGTGTGCGCCCTCTAATTGAGAGGAGTATGATCTTTTGTTATTATAAAGTGTGTCGTCTGACATTGAAAAAAAAATCATGATGTTATTAGGAAATATATATTTTTTCACTTTCTTATTACTTTTGCTCCACAGCTCAAAGGCGAAGAGATTCTTAAAATATGATGTTTTGTTTCTGCTTGCACGAGAAGGGGACTTCTCTTTTTCTGTGTTTCCTACAACCGAAAGGGCTACACTTCTTCCTTTAAATAAAGTCCTAAACATTAAATATGAAAATAGTGGGGATATTTTTGAGTCGGTTGACAGCTAGAGATATACAGTATGTGTGATATCACTCCTAAATGACAAATACCCTGAAGAGAGGAAAAAAGAGTTTTCTAAAAGTTTCTGCCTAAGAAGCATTTTCACTGGAGGTTTAGAGCACTACCCCCATCCTGATGGTTAGGAAATGTTCCTTCTACCAAAAGTTCCATTCAGATCCTGCCCTGGACTCGAAGACCGACTTTAATTTTAAAGGGCTCATCACTATATATAAAAATGATGTCGTATTTTTATCAGGCGTGTTCTCCTTTTCCTTCGTCATAAATTGCAGTTATTGAATTAAAATCAAATTGTCTTCAGAAGAAATTAATCTGCAAAAACGACTATATTCTGCTAACATTACGGTGAAAACAGATGGTTTTGCATTTTCTCCTCCTGTGTAGTAAAACCGCAGGAAAAAAAAAGAAAACGTGTCCGCTGGGGGTCTCAAAATCCTAATGAATGAAACAGTAAAATGCAGATGTCCCTGCCACCCGTGGGATATTTGCATGGACGGTTCCTGTATTTGGGATTGCCTCGCTCCCTTTTTGGTGCGATTTCCCCTTTTCCTGGGAAGGTTCGAGCTACAAAGGACATCAAGGGCGTTCAGTTGCTGAAATGCCTTGCGATTTGGGCAGTGATTTGGGTAGCAAATGTGTTCTCCAGCTACTACTTAAAATAACCCCAGCAACAGAAGTGCAGTTTGGTGTTGCGGCACATGGAGGGCGGAGGGCGGGGGAGGAACTGCAATGGGATGGCACACTGTATATTGGGAGAGGCAGCAGGAAGGACTGCGTATTTCAGTTTCCTAACCCTGACCTTTAGCAATGCGGGCAGTCGAGTTTCTTGGAAGCATCAGGACGGGGGGGGGGTGTTCGTGCCTCCCCCCGCACCCTCCCCCCCCCCGGACTTTGCCTGCTCCGTGCTGGTTTAATTTCTCCAAGCAGGAATGCGCTGAGATGTTTCCCCAGTTGTGGCGCTGACGTTTGGAGCCATGTGATGGGCCCCCTTTCGCTATAAGGAGAGAAGAAAGGCCGCCCTCTTTTGGACTCAGCCCCAGCCTTTTCAAGATCTTTCCCAAGACTCTTCCCCCCCCCCCCAATACTAATCGCTCTCCCTCCTTCCCTGGATCCATTAATGTCCGAGGGCTCCTGCGAGGAGGAGAAAGAGAGGAACCAACTCCAGGGCGCAGCCAAGGGGGAGAGATTTCCCGCTGCCTGCTCAGCGGAGGCTGCTGCTGACTGTTGTGTTTGTTGCTTGTTCGCACCAGGGCTGCAGATCCTGGCTCTGTCTGGGCGGATTCGCCGCCTGGAGCAAAGCAGGGGGACTCCAGCGTGCACGGCTCCCCGGCCCCGCCGCCCCCGATGAGCCGCTCCGCCAAGCCATGACTCTGAGCTCGGAGATGTCCGATGCCTCGGGACTGGCTGAAGAGACCGACATCGATGTGGTGGGCGAGGGCGAGGAGGAAGACGAGGAGCCCCGGCGCGGCGGGCGCCCCTATGCCCAGGAGGAGGAAGAGGAGGAGGAGGAGGAAGACGAGGAGGTGGGGGAGCTCCCCGATGACATCTCGCTGCCCAGGTCCCCGGCGTGCGGCGGCGCGGGCAGCTCCCCACCTCCTCCCAGCGCCCCTACAAGGCGGCGGCGGGCGGCGGCGGGGCCAGCAAGAACAG